ATAGTTCCAATTAAGTATATATTTATTTATAAATTCTGACTTATTACTCTTATTGTTAAATTTTATGTCCTGAAACCAATTCCTAATTTTTCAAGAGCACTAACAAGAACTTCATCCGGATTGTCTAGATAAATCAATAGAGGACCTTAGAGGACCTAACGGATCTATTCGGACAAGTTTGTCATTTGGTGAAATTACGGGAAGCAAGGGATATTGTGATAACCTTGGAATTTCTAATCCTATGCCCCATTTCAGTTTTTTTAAGATACTATTAAGCCATTGTCGATTAGGAACATCTTGTGAGGAAGGATCCCAGTAAATTTCCTGTTCATTGGGAAGCTCCTCAACCAAAAGATCAAGGACATCTGGTGTATCGGGTTCTTTAATATTCATCATCTTCGAAAAGCCTTTACTCTCAAAAATCTTATTAAGTTCTTCATCTAAATCATAAACAAAGCAGGAAGGACCAGACTTCGGAAATAAATCTTGATATTTATCATTCGCAAAATAATAATTTTGTTCATCCCCCAAAATACCAAAAGACCTATTTTTTAGGGGTAACAGTTGTAACCCATTTAATGTCGAATATAAACTCTTATCTTTTAAAATGAATTTTAACAAAATTACCCCATTTTTATACTCTTGCTGGATGCATTTTAAAATATTGTTATTTTCTTGTAATAATTTATGAACCAATGCAGAATTAATAGGTTGATACTTTGTAGTAGGTCGACCTTTTTGATTTTGAGACTCCTTCAATTGGATAAATTTGTCTTTGTCCATTTTTACAGTTGAAATACATGTTTGGCAAGAATATCTGCAATATTGAAATCATTTTCCTCAGAGAAATACGCGTTTTCTAATGATACAAAACTTCCTCCGTTAGCTTCTGTCCAAAACACATTATTATCACTAAGATTCTGCAATACGCTTATCGCATATCTATCTTTTTATCAATTGTATAAATTACGTTACTGATGATTAATTTATGCTTATCACGCATTATTGCGCCACACATTACGTTGTGTTATATCAGTTATATCAGTTATATCACCACTAATGATACAAATCGAAAATCGAAAAATTGATTAGTTGTCAACTAAACCAACTAATCGATCGGAAATTTTTTAAAAAAAATAATTTATCGATTGAAAAATTTTGTCAAGTTATAATAAAATAATCGATCAAAAATCGATAAATCGTTTAGTTGACAACTAATCGATTGAAAATTTTTAAATTAGTCAACTAAGGCCACACAAA